GTTTTGGATATTTCTTTTTATTTTGGAATATTTGCAGAATGCACACCAGTTGAGCATTCCTAATCCAAAAATCTGAAATCCAAAATGCTCCCAAATCTGAAACTTTTTAAGCACTGCCATGATGCTCAAAGGAAATGCTCATTGGAGCATTACATTTTCAGATTTTCAGATTAGGGATGTTTAACCTGTACTAAGGATAGGAAAGATTTAACAGAACAGCATGAACAAAGGCATAGAGGCATTGAATGCATGGATGTTCAGGAATAGCAACCAGTTTAGTTTGACCAGACGATTGGACAAGTAGAGATATTTAATGGAAAATGAGTCTGAAAGAGTACGTAGGGTCAGATTACAGAGAGCCTTGAGTGCCAAAAGTAGGAGAACTATGGAAGATTCTTGAGAATGCATGGATGTTCAGGAATAGCAACCAGTTTAGTTTGACCAGACGATTGGACAAGTAGAGATATTTAATGGAAAATGAGTCTGAAAGAGTATGTAGGGTCAGATTACAGAGAGCCTTGAGTGCCAAAAGTAGGAGAACTATGGAAGATTCTTGAGCAGAAGGATGACATCAATATCAGGCTTTCAGAAGATCTAGGTGCAGACTAAACACCGGATTGGGGCAGGGTCAAGACTATAAGCAGAGAAGTCAGTTAGTGGAGCTTCTACAGTGGTCTAGGCCAGAGGTCACAGCAAAGGCCGGGATAGTAAGAGTAGAAAAGAGGAAACTGGTATGTAAAAAATACAATAGAGGTACAATACACACAGGTCTTGGTAGTTGATTGGTTGTTGAGAGTGGATTGGGAAATACTTGGGAAAATAGTGGTTCCATTAACAAAAAATAGTAAAGTCAGGAGAAGTGGCTAGTTTGGCAGGAAAAGTAAGGTAGACACATTGTCTTTACAATTTAAAACATTCCCAAGAGAGAAATCTAGCATTCATTTGGAAGTGTAACTCTGGATCTCAAGACAGAAGTCAGGGCTGAAGGTAAATATTTGAGAGACATTACATAACCATGACAGTTAAAGCCATGAGCATGAATGAGGGATTCTCTCCTATCCCCCTATCTCTCTAGATAGCAGCTCCTTCCGAATTTCCTTAGATGGTATTTCTTCCTACTCCCCACCCTAAGTGTGGGTTCCCTTCATTCTTTCACTCAACAAATATTTATTAAATGCTTATTATTCCCAGGGCGCTATTCAAGGCACTGGTAATACTCGGTGAACAAATCAGACCAAAAAAAGATCTGCCTTGGGCTGGCCAGGTAGCTCACTTGGTTAGTGGTTAGCTCACTTGGTTAGAGTATGGTGCTGATAACACCAAGGTTAAGGGTTCAGATCCCCTTACCAGCCAGCCCATCCCTGCCAACGCCCCAGGTAGCTCACTTGGTTAGAGTGTAGTGTTGATAACACCAAGGTTAAGGGTTCAGATCCCCTTACCAGCCAGCCCATCCCTGCCAACGCCCTCAAAAATAATCTGCCTTAATGGAACTTATAGTAAGATAAGACAAACAGTAAATAAACAAATACGTAAAATATATAGTATTCAGATGATAAAAAGTGTTATGGAAAAAAATGAAGCAGAGAAAGGGGATGTGGGAGTTGCAATTTTAAATAGGACGATGGAAGAAAGCCTCAAGGAGAACCACACATTTGATTAAAAGGCTGATGTAGGTGAAGGAACAAGATATGTGGATATTTGAGTAAAAAGCCTTCCACGAAGGGAAAACAGCCAGTGCAATGACCCGGAGGCTGGAGAGTGTCTGGTATGCTTGAGAAGTGACAAGGATGCCAGTAGGGCTAGAACAGAGGGGAAAGTAGTAGGAGATTAGGTCAGAGGCAGACCTGGAGGCCAGATTGTATAGGATGTTATAAATCATTTGACTTCTACTCTGCATAAGATAGGAAGCTATTAAAGGACTGTGAGCAGAGAGTGGCAAAATTTGATTTGTATTTTCAAGCTATTAATCTTTAAAGAGACCAACCATTTTGAATATAGAATGTGGAAGAATAAGGGTGGAAGCAAGGAGATAAATAGTAGACTTTTGCAATAATCCAGACAAGAGATGGTTCCAGCTTGAACCATGGTGATAACAGTGAAGGTACTGAGAACTGGTTAGATTATGGAGGTATTTTTAACTGGAGCCGGCAAGATTTGAGGACAGATTGAATACAGGATGTGAGAGAAAGAAAATAGTCAAAGATAACTCTCCAAAATTTTTGTCTGAGCAACTAGGAGGTTATTTACTAGGTGGAGAAGACTACAGAAGGAGCAGGCTTGGAGTGATGGCAGAGAAGATCAGGAGTTAGTTTTGGATATGTTAATTTTGAGATGCCTATTAAACACTGAAGGAGAGATGTCAAAAATATATGTGGGTATGCAAGTATGGAATTCAAAAGAAGAGCTGAGAATAGTTGAGAGGGTACAGGAAGGCATAAACGCTTTGAATGGCACCTAATCTAGGTGGTAATATCAGCAACTGCACACCCTCATGGGGAATGGGAAGCTTGAACCTCCATCCAGGGGTAAACTGGTTATACCATGTTCTGTCTGTAGAGAAGCCTCCATCTGTTAAACAAATTTTATATCTTCCATGTTCGTTAGCATCTTTCCTTCAACCATATGACTGTTCCTAGATGGCAGCCATGCAAACACTTAAATTCTTTCCTTTTTGGTTCTCTTTGCATCTTCTCACAGCACACACTGTCTATGCTTTCTGCAATCTATATTTTAACCCCCCAAAGGACATCATGCCATTGTCCCAGTAATCAAGGACAAGGTCCTCTTCCTTTGATGATGACCACAAGGATGCAGTCTTTTCTCAATCTTGGATATTTTGGATATGAGTAAGCCAGCCATGTGGTTCAAATGTGTCTGCAAATAGCTCAGGGGTTAACAACACAAGTCACTTTATGGGAACTTGTCTTTTTCATCTTTTTATATGGCGGCCTCTCAGTTTAACATTGTTTTCCACAAACTATACAGATTTTCAGTGCTGTGTGTGTTTTATATGAAGAGAATCAGTCAAGCCCTATGGCTTCTGACAAGAGACTGAAGCTTCTTGGTCTGTTCCGTTTCCAGTGCCCTTTCTGGGGATATTCAGCATCTCATTGGCATTCAGAATTGCAAGTGTACACCAACTTTCATGGAACAATATATAATGATTCCCATTCATTATTACATTATAATGGAAAAAGAAAGATAATAGATAATATATGTTGGCTAATTTTCTTTCTTTTTTTTTTTTTCTTTTTGTCTTTTTTCGTGACCGGCAACAGGATCACAACCCTCGGTGTCGCGCCCGCACCGCGCTCAACCAGTGAGCAGACCGGTCTCTATATGGGATCCGAACCCTCGGCGGGAGCACCGCCGCACTCCCAAGCATTGCACTCTACCGAGTGCGCCACCGGGCTGGCCCAATAATTTTCTAATTCCTGTACTGAAGTCATCCTCCAAATCTCTAGCTTTCTGCAGATTATATACATATATATGCATGCATTTAACTTTTGATTTTTATATAATTATAGATTTGCAAAAGTTGCAAAGAAATGTACAGGCAAATTCCATGCATCCTTTTCCCAATCTTCCCCAATGTTAACATCTTAACAACTATACTACAATATCCAGAAAGCTTATTCATACTCCACCGTTTTTACATACACTCTCATGTACATGTACTCGTGTGTCTGTGTGTGTGTGTGTAGCTCAGTGCAATTTTGCCATATGTGGAACCTTGCATAACTGCTACTACTGTCAAAACACTTAAGTCTACCATCATCCCAAGATGCTTGTTACTCTTTATAGCAACACCCAACCCGCCATCCCAAATCCGTGGCAATCATTAATCTGTTCTCCAGATATATAGTTATGTTATTTCACTATTGTTACACAAATGGAATCATGTAGTATATATCCTTTTGAGAACACCTGTAATATAATTTCCTTGAGATTCATCCAAGCTGGTGCATTTATCAATAGTTCATTCCTTTTTATTGCTGAGTAGTATCCCATGGTATACCACAGATTTTTAAACCATTCACCCATTGAAGGACATTTGGGCAGTTTCCAATTTGGGGCTATTATGAATAAAAGCAGCTATGAGCATCCAAGTACAAATTCCTGAGTAAAAGTAGGTCTTCATTTCTCTGAGGTAAATGCCCCAAAGTGCAATTGCTGAGTCATATGGCAAATCCATGTTTAGTTTTAAAAAGAACAGCCAAGCCATTTTAAAGAGTCAGATGATTTACTTTTGGAATTTAATTATGACTCAATCCCTAGAGAGATGTTCCACTTCATTTCTCTGAGGTAAATGCCCCAAAGTGCAATTGCTGAGTCATATGGCAAATCCATGTTTAGTTTTAAAAAGAACAGCCAAGCCATTTTACAGAGTCAGATGATTTACTTTTGGAATTTAATTATGACTCAATCCCTAGAGAGATGTTCCACTGTTTACCTCTTCCTGATTACATAGCTCTCCTTCCAAAAGCCCATGGAGTCAGACGAACCTGGGTTCAAATCCTGCTTCACTCACTCATTAGCTAGGTGTGCTTCGACATATATTTAACATTTTTTGAGTCTCAGTTTCCCAGTTTGTAAAACCCCTGTTAATAATGCCTGATAATAATGCCTGAGACAGTAAGGATTTAACAAGATCAACATGTAAAATGCTGGCAGTAGAGCATCTGGCACACAGTTGTGAATTAATGCTAGCTCTCTCCCCACCCCATGGCAAAATGATAATCAAACATTCCTCCCAATTTTTATGGTATTGAAAATTTTAACTGACTTTAAAAATCTAAAGAAATCATACTACTTTTATTCATACTTTTCTTTTACTAAAAATATATCCTTAGTAGGTTCATCATGCATAATGTTTCCTTGCTAAAAACTAGTTTCTCTTTCTTCCTATCCATTATATTTGCTGAAGTAATCCTCATAACTCTTGGAAACAGAAACAAGTTGATGTCTCTCCATTATACTCTGGTTTTTCTCTCTTCTAGGTCAGTGAACAATTTCCTGATGACTGGTCCAAAGGTTAGGAAAAAATTTCTTTGATTAATATGGGTTTCACCTATCTTAGTTTATTGACTGAAAACTATACATGTTGATTTCTTTTCACTATATGCACATCTTTTATTATGCTGTATAGATTATAGGTAGAAAAACCGAGGCACAGAGAGGGTTAGTGACACACCCAAAACCACACAGCAAACAAATGTTAGAGCCCACATAGGAATTCAAGAATACTGATTCTGAATTTATGGACACAATTTTCAGAGCCAGAATAGTCAACAACCTTTCATGAGTGTCAGGCTGCAAAGTCACACATACTTCTCAGTGCAAGAGTAGCGTGCAGTTGCCCATCTTTGAAATGCTGGAATTGTACTACACGATCTCTACGTGGAAGGGTGCTTCCAGCTCCAAAATGTTATTTTTTAAGATAGTAATGGGATGAGAACAGCTAAATTTTCATGAATTATGTGATTTGGGCTCATTTTGGAAAGACAATATAGTATAGTGATGAAGGGTAGTAGGGACTACAGTCTGATGAAATTGTTTCATTCCTAGTCGTGCTATCTGTGGGGCCTTGGGCAATTACTTCACTTCACCTCTCTGAGCCTCAATTTCCTAAACTATAAAGTGGTACCTGTTTCATGAGGTTATTTGTGATGTTAAATGAGACAGCATATTTAAAGTACTTCCTCTGTCATTATTGTGGAGGGATAGGAGAATGGGCGGGAAGAGACCTATTTGGCCAGTTTAGGGCAAATGCTTCCTAAGTTCAGTCTGAATTTTGACCGCTGTGTCCCTGCAGGCTTACCTCATCTATTCCAGCAGCGTGGCAGCGGGTGCCCAGAGTGGTATTGAAGAATGCAAATACCAGTTTGCCTGGGACCGCTGGAACTGCCCTGAGAGAGCCCTGCAGCTGTCCAGCCATGGCGGCCTTCGCAGTGGTAAGGAAAGCTTCGGCCACAGCTCCCCGGACCCCCTGGTCACAGGTTAGAGCCCCGGGGATGGCCCCCTGCCTCCTCTATACCCTTATTCCTCACCTGGTCTCTTCTCTCAGGTCATCTACCTCTCTGGGATCTTCTCTCTTCTTTCTTTACCTCCTCTTTCTCACCTATAGGGTTTTTTTCTTTTTCCCCTAACACCCTCACTGCTCAACGAACAGACTTTGTCTCACCCCCAATCCTTGTTGGCTAAAAGTTTCCTCACAATATAATTAACATCAGGAAGTAAGCAGATGCCATAATTCTTCATACCTCTTAGCCCCTTCCTTCAGCAGACTTAGCAGAGAGGTACTGGGCAAGTGGAAACTGACTTGGAGACCAGCTAGCATCCTTGGCCTCCCAGTTGGCTAAAAGTTTCCTCACAATATAATTAACATCAGGAAGTAAGCAGATGCCATAATTCTTCATACCTCTTAGCCCCTTCCTTCAGCAGACTTAGCAGAGAGGTACTGGGCAAGTGGAAACTGACTTGGAGACCAGATTCCCATGGACAAGATAAAAAGTAGCCACGCCAGTAAATGAAAAAGCTGCCAATCAGAGGTTTTTTTCAAGGCTAACTGCACATGCCTCCCAGACCCCAATGTTCCAGGAGGAAGTGGGGAAGGGTTCTATATAACCCAGCCATCAGATTCATCTCCTTCCCCATTTCTTCTTTGGGCTCTTTCCCAGCTAAATCTTTTACAATCGTGCATGCCAACAATGATCTAGCCACCTAGTCATGAGCTGAATGTGTGAGCTGAAAAGACAGGAGGGAAGAAGAGTAGGGTTGAGGCCAGGGATGGAGCAGACCCTGGAAGAGGGTAGGGTACATTATAAAGATAGGGAGATAGGATGGAGCTGGGAAAGGCAGGTATAATGATTGTATTAAAGGAAGATAGCATGACTGGTATTTCTTCGGGCTGTAACCCCTTCCTCTAACTCTCCGGATTTTTTATTCCTGCCAGCTAATCGGGAGACAGCATTTGTACATGCCATCAGTTCTGCTGGAGTCATGTACACCCTGACTAGAAACTGTAGCCTTGGAGATTTTGATAACTGTGGCTGTGATGACTCCCGCAATGGGCAACTGGGTGAGTAGTGTTGCAGGGACGGGCAGCGCAGGCCAGTTACGTTTGCTTAAAGAATGAAAAGCTTGGTGGGGTGAAGAGCAGTTGTATTCTTCTGATGAAGAAAAGCATGCTGAAGATGAATGAACCAGTTTGAATGCAAACCCTACAGTGAGAAACCAGGCTAAATGTAGCTTGGGGCCCTCTTCTCCGATTGAGTGCTTTCCTTAACTTAAACATATTACTGCTGATAAAAAGGAATGACACTCGCTGCCAACTCCATCCTCTCTGTTCCTTCTTTCAAATACAGGGGGAACTTCCTTCAGGGTTGCTTATCCCTGTCTACTTTCCACTCTTTACCTCCACTGCTGTCTCCAGTCCTCTGTGCCTTCCCGCTCAACTTCCAATTTTGTTCTTTCATATAATTTTACCATGCCTTCTTTCCCCCTCGATGCTTGAGCTGTCTTCGCTTTTTTTTTTAAAGAAGAAAAAGACTTACTAGATTTGTCAAAGACACTAGCATAATTTCCTTCCTTGGGTATTTTTCCTGTTTACAGAAGTAATAGAAATTAATCACAGAAAATGTGGAAAACACAATATGAAAAGCACAAAGCAGCAAATCATACATTATTCTACCTTCAGAGATAATCCATATTAATATTTTTAGAATAGCTTTCTAGTCTTATTTTCTTTACTTGTATGTACATACATATATATATACACACACATATATATGTATACACATTCCTTTTTCACATATTTAAGATTATACTGAAATTATGTGTTTTTTTCTCTTAACCAACAAACATTCACTTCTCGCAGTTCAGGAGTCTGAGATATACACACATATATATGTATACACATTCCTTTTTCACATATTTAAGATTATACTGTAATTATGTGTTTTTTTCTCTTAACCAACAAACATTCACTTCTCGCAGTTCAGGAGTCTGAGAAGTCCAAGGTCAAGGTGTGGGTAGATTCAGTTCCTGGTGGTGAGGGCCCTCTTCCTGGCTTGCACGTCTGTGTCCTCACCACAATTGATCTCATCAATTCCTTCTTTTGTCCATTTTAACATAAAAATGTCATGAGCGAAAGTGAGAAGTTTTTTGTATAATTAAAGAGACACCTGGTATGAAAGCCCGCAGCCATGGGAAGCTCTCTGTGGGGCAAGGCAGTTTCTGAGGCCGGGAAGTCCACAATCCAGGGAACACAGCTGGTGAAGGTCTTGGTGGTGGTGACAGTGATGGCAGGGTATCACATTGTGAAAATGGCAGAGCAGAGGGAGCAAGAGCTCTTCGCTTTTTTTGAGCCGCTTTGTTCTTTCCGGACCTCAATCACTGGCCGGGTACGTGTACGCTCTGCCCACTGGGTAGAGGAACATACAGAGGAGCTCGCGGGCACCCTGGAGAGCATCCACTCAGCAACTACTTACGTCATGGAGCCCTCAGCAGGGCATTGGCTGAGGTTGGAAGTAGGCGCATAAAGGTGGCAAAAACAAATCTTCTGGTCTGAAACTAATCCGAACACAGGGCACTCACCCAACCTTAATCCTTCCCTGTCCCGGACCCCCGCAAACCCAATTAAAAACAGCAGCCCAGGAGGCTCCGCGCCGCCTGCTCTATGACCTTTCCTCCCCCTGCACTTTTCCAGGGGGCCAAGGCTGGCTGTGGGGAGGCTGCAGTGACAACGTGGGCTTCGGAGAGGCGATTTCCAAGCAGTTCGTTGATGCCCTCGAGACAGGACAGGATGCCCGGGCAGCCATGAACCTGCACAACAACGAGGCCGGCCGCAAGGTGAGTTCCGCAGCCCCTGGGCTTAGGCAACGGGCTCCCTCCACTCCTAGCCTAGGTGCGGCCTCCTCTTCAGTTCATGAACAGGCTGGGAGCAGCAGGCGCCGAGCGGGCGGGCCAAGCGGACCAGCTGCACGCCTCTCAACCCCGCAAGGGCCTCTCACTCCCAGCTCTCTCCCCAGGCGGTGAAGGGCACCATGAAACGCACGTGCAAGTGCCACGGCGTGTCTGGCAGCTGCACCACGCAGACCTGCTGGCTGCAGCTGCCCGAGTTCCGCGAGGTGGGCGCGCACCTGAAGGAGAAGTACCACGCAGCGCTCAAGGTGGACCTGCTGCAGGGGGCTGGCAACAGCGCGGCCGGCCGCGGCGCCATCGCCGACACCTTCCGCTCCATCTCCACCCGGGAGCTGGTGCACCTGGAGGACTCCCCAGACTACTGCCTGGAGAACAAAACGCTGGGGCTGCTAGGCACCGAAGGCCGAGAGTGCCTGCGCCGCGGAAGGGCCCTGGGCCGCTGGGAGCGCCGCAGCTGCCGCCGGCTCTGCGGGGACTGCGGGCTGGCGGTGGAGGAGCGTCGCGCCGAGACCGTGTCCAGCTGCAACTGCAAGTTCCACTGGTGCTGCGCTGTCCGCTGCGAGCAGTGCCGCCGGCGGGTCACCAAGTACTTCTGTAGCCGCGCGGAGCGGCCGCGGGGAGGCACTGCGCACAAACCCGGGAGAAAACCTTAAGGGTCTCCTCTCACGCCTCCTTTTCCCGTTTGTCCTTGGCTTCTTTTAGAGACCCCAGTAACAGAGGAACCTAGGGAATGGGGATCCTGCACTCTCCAGCCTAGAGATCCTTAGAGGGAGAGACTCTGCAGTCTCTCCGGAGGTTGCCACTTTCCAACCTGTTTCCCCAATTCCTCTGCGCTCTCTTAGAGCTTCACAGCCCGCACTTAGGTCTGAGAACTCTCCGTTCCAAGGTTCTGAGCTATTGATCTTCCTTGGACTAGTATGAGAATAGGAGTTCCTCCTCCCCTTTCCTAGCTGCTCTAACGCTTGACCTAGCCTATCAAGCTTTAGGAACCGGAAGTACCCTTCTCAGACATGCAGGGCCCAGGCAAAGCCATGGCTGTTCTCTTTTGCCCATTGTCTGCTACCAGGTCTCAACCGCAGCTGCATGTCCCTTCTGCAGAGCCTCCCACGCTTCTGATTCCCTGCTAATTGTTGACATAGACTCCTCAGGAATCTCTAATTCTTTCTCTCCCCTTTTCCCTTTCCTTTCTTTCCCTGAAGAGAAACAATGAGAAAACTGACCTGGGAAAAGCATACCCTTGGGGTTGGTTGCTAGAAGCAGATGTTGAAGACAGAGGAAGAGGGAACCCTAGAGTGCTGACTTGCTAAACACCATGGGTGCTACTCATCCTTGTGATAGCACATCACTAATAGATTTTACCAGAGGGGCAGCGACCTTCCTAGACAATCACCCAAGGTACTCCCGACACATACCCAAAAGATCTAGACATACCAGTCATTCCCTACACTTTAAAGTTGTCTTCACCCTGTTCCTAAACTATTTCTTCCCAGCAACCAACTTTACCTCTTCTCCTTCCCCAAAGGATCTTTGTTCCTCTGAGCCAAGACTGAGGTAAATAAAGCCAATTTCCCATTCAGGCCCTAGTCTGCACCTCTAAAAGCAGGTCATAGAAAGGAGAGCTGGGACCCTTCTTTTCACTAACCTGGTTATCAAAGAGGTAGGTTGAGGGCATTGGAAGTCTTCCTTCAATAAGTAAACCTCCTACAATGAAACTGTTGCTAATAGGAAGTTCAGCACCTTGAACTTTAATTTATTGAAGTCACTGCGATATGTGCCCTTTTTTCCAGATACTGAACTTACTCTTAGTGATACTGGGGGTGGGGTGGAGTGGGGTGGGGTAGAGGATGTGACCTCTAGGCTCTCTCCTCCCTCCCACCTTGGCAGAATATCTTCTTCCCTAGAGACTTGCTTCCCTTTTGGCTTCCTTAAGTAGTTATCCTGACCTAACTCAGGCTAATCTGCCAGGGATTAGTAAATCATCCACATAAATCTTCCACTAATACAGTCACTCAGTAGCCAAGAGCTTGCTGCTTGTGGTGCTTGAGTCTTCTGGTTTTATTCTCAGAGAGAAGCAGTACAGCAGGGACTTGTTGATCAAACAGGGCTCTGGGGAGGAACTGGCAACCCCTGACAGGCTCTCTGCAGCCCAAGGAGTTTCCCCGCCAGCTCCCTTTCCCAGTCCTGGGTCTGCACACTGGCAGCTCTTCTGGAAAGAACTGGTCAGATGCTAGACAACCTCATCCCTCCTCTCCCAGAACGGGAGAAAGCACAGGGGCTCCAAGTAAGTAACAAAAGCCGAGGCTGTAGGAGCCGACCTGTAAAAGTGGAATAAGAGCCCTTCCGCTTTAATAGGTCGGGAAAATACAGCTCCCATATTCCAAATTCAAACAGTGGCCAGGTCAGACCTCATACCCTCAGCCTCACCCCTACACATCTTCTGAGGTTCCCCTTCCTTATCAGGGGAAACACTTCTCTTCAGGGTCTCCTAGTGCTTTGTTTCCAGCTCTATCTGCAAAAGGCCCTTTGCTCCTTCCCTCAGCTTTTATCTGGGCCTCCTGAATTTCCCAACTCATCCTTCTTCCCTAATCAAGCAGCAGCATACACTAACCTAGCTGTCCCACTTGGCAGAATTACTTGATAGGGTATGGGAAGAAAGTCTGGCAAGGCACCTAGAAAATATAAAAGTACAATGGTGTAAAGGAAAGCTATGTTCTCCAGGAGCTCTCTCAGCGTAAAAGTAAGAGAATTATCATGCTTCATATTTGACAACTCCAGGTCGGTACTCTGAACATGTCATACTGCCAGAAAGTTCTTTCATAGGTTATTGTGTTGTATCCCCAAATGGATATGACTGATTCCAGATTCATTTGAGTTCTATAAAGAAAACATTACTGAGCTAGCTTAGATCTGTATTGCTTCCCCCCGCCCCACTTCATTATCCATTCATTCATTTGTTCACTCAACAAACACCAGAGTGGACACAGGGTGGTGAACAACACACCAACATCCCTGCATCAAGGAGTTTAGATTCTCGTCTTATACTCAGTCTCCAGGGCTGTGTTCACTGTTACAAATGTGGACAATACAGAACTGTTGCTTGGAAAGACACCTTTGAGGTCAGCTAGTCAAATCTTCTGTTTTACAGATTTAAACTGATGCTGAGAAAGATGACTGTCTTGTTCCATCAATTAGTAAGTTACTGTAGGGTGAGTACTGGAACTCAAGCCCCTTCCCTCCTCTTCTGTGCTCTTTAGGAGCCCATCTGTCTCAGCCAGAGGACAGAAGCAAAGGGAGGTCCTGAGAAGTGACAAGAACACTGGTTGGGGTGGGCAAAACACTGTCTCCTTCCTGTCCCTGGCCTGTGAGCCTACACACAGGCAGGGCTTTCTTTTCTTGAAAAGAATCCCAGCTTCAACTGGCCTTAGCAGCAGGTTAGGGCAAAGACAGAGACAGGGTCGTCCTCGGCGCTGGTGGTGCTGGTGGTGGTGGGAGGGAAGGGCAGGCCAGGGCACTCGCCTATTGTGGGTCTGGATTGGATGCTTCCACTCATTCATTTCCTTTTAATTAACCCGCATTCCTGGAGGAGAAATATTTATGTTGGCTCCCATAGAGGCAATCCTCAGACTGGAAAGAAGGGGGAAGAAAGCCTGTCTTAGCAAAACAATATCTCTAAAGAGCTCAAGAAGAGAAAATAGGGGAACAAAATGCCATTAAAATAGCCTTCTACCCCCACTGGAGTCAATGAAAACTTCATTTCACATGCTAATCCGCCACTCCGCCCCCTTCTCTTCTCACAACACCTTTTCCGAAAGTGTTTGGGAAAAGTCTTCGCAGTCAGTACACAGCTCCCCGCAGCTCAGACTTCTCCTTGTGTTAGTTCAGGGCCCCAAGTGGGGCTCTCGCTCCAGCAGCGGCTTTTTTCTCCCCCCCTTTAATTTAAACAAAGACTTCGGAGTTCATCAACCTCCCACTGAAATTCACAGCTGCTGAACAAACTAATCCCCTCTCCCCGCCTTTCTTCCCTTCAATGGGCTCTTGGCTTCAAAGACACTTTGGGAAAAGACTTTGCTGGGGCTCACACTGCTTCATCAATAGAAGTTAGTGCAAGTATTATCTGAAGAGCAAGTGGCTTTACAAACAAATACTGCCTAACAATCCCTCCCTCCCAAACACACACATCTAACCCGCAGACATGATGGGATCTACAACAGGATTAGGGCTAGTACCCCCCTGGCTTCACACTCAGTCCCTTTGTGTGGCTGAGCTCAGCACTGAAGTGGTGTGGGGAAAACCCTGAAGCTGAATGTCAGGCACGGATGGAGACACGGAGACAGACAGACACACACACACACAGAGACACACACACACACAGCTGAATGGCCACAAATGATGCAAGGAAAGACCTTTGCAGCCTAATTCCACAGGACTGAACACTTTCCTTTAACTCCCTGACTTCTTACCTCTCCCCAGGTCTCTCGCCAGCCTAACTAGGGTGCAGGGAGCAAGGACAAGGAGGACTAGGAAGAGAGGTAATGGCATAGTAGGACCCAGAGGAGGGAATGATTGGGAGATGACTGAGGAAATCAAATCAAAGCCGCTTTATTGCACCATTAAATACATCAACTCATCAAATGCAGAGTTCAACCATGAAAATGTAGCCAGAGAACGTAGCCCTGAGACATGTGGCTGAGGGAGAAGGGCCCCCAAACCTTGAGGACCAGTGCTAGAAGAGTCTTTTGTTAATATGGCTCCTATTCCAAATTGGGCTTATAATTACAGAATAAATAGTCTAGGGCCTTGGGCCAGAGCTCAACCATAGGTAGAGTCAAGGGCCCTTCCCCATAGGCTGTGGTCCCTCTCCTTCTATCTCAAAGCCTAAGGCAGCTCCCAGCAAAAGGCAGTTCACCCCTTCCATCTTCCACTTAAACTAGCCCACCCTTAATAATGCTGGCAGATGAGAAGTTCCACTTAAAAAGGGCCAAAGTTTCCTCTCTTGGTTCTGTTCAGCACCCACCCGTCACATCCATGACTTGTTTGAAGCAGTCAATTCGACCCCAGTCTCTGGGGCTACAGAGAAATATGGACCTGGAAGTACGAAGTCAGAGGCAGGGGGAAGGTAAAGTCAGGCTCATAGACCACAGAAGGGAAAAACAAAAGACCCAAAAGATGGGCCAGAATAGAGGTAGACTTGGAAGTAACAATCCTATTCACCTTCCCAGAAGCCAATTAAACAGCATAACCGTGGGGGAGAAGCCATCCTGCCCAGGGTATAATCTGTCAGGGTATAGTATTAGGGAGAGTGATGAACTGGCTCTATGCCCTGCCTTCAGGGCTGAGAGAGTCCTGGGTAGATCCCAGAAGACCAGGCATAAAGGGTGAAAAGCAGGCACTCAGCTGGTTTGGAGCCAAGCCTACAGCATCACATATCTGGCAGCATGGGAAGAGGGTTGGGAAAAACAAACAGAATCTGTTCCAAAATTCCCCTTTTCTGCAGGGAGGAGTTAAGTAACAGCAGAAGTGGCCTCCCAGCAAGAGAGGCTGCCTGGTTTAGACCCGCAGCTTGTGAGCGATCGTGAGGACAGCTTTGAGGATAGGCATGAAGCTGGACACTTCGCTGAAGCTGCTGCAGCCCACCATCTGGGCATGCATTGCGAGACCCTGCTCAAAGTTGCCTGCATCTACACATCGGGCAACCTCGTGGAGCCCAGCCAGGACAGGAGGCGAGAGCTGTGAAGGATTGACCCTTAGGTTAGTAAGCCTGACCCAGCCCCTACCCTGGCAGCATGGAAGGGATAAGAGAGCACTCAAGTTCTGGAGCCCACTCCAGGCAAGATGTAAGCATTTTGTGGGGAACCCAGGCAAGTGAGACCTATGGGAAGAAATGACACTGGGCTTCCTGTGGCCAAGGGTGATGGTGGAAGGGCAAGAGGCAGAGGGAGTACAGCTAGGTGTACTTACTGTCCCCTCACAGAGCTTCTCATATAGACATTCTAGATGTCGGGCTGCCTCATCCAGCTTCCTCTTTGTCTTCTGCACAGAGGGAAATGGATTCTGACCCCAGCCCCTAAGTATAATACTACACAGAGCTATAAAGAATCACGGTATATTAGAACTAAAATGGCTTAATGCTACTTCAGCATTTCACAGAGGAGGAAATAAAGACCCAAAGAGGGTAAGTGACTTGCTCAAGCTGACACAGCTGCCGCATGAATGGCAGGTTTCCTTATTCCTGGCTTCGCCCTCCTTCCAGCACTCTCTGCTGCCTTTAAGTCCCGATGCTGTTGGTCCCCACTACCTAGGAGCTGGACTTCAGACCAAACTCCAAGTCCCTCAGACATCAAATAAGTGCAAAATAAGGAACTGGTCTACAGCTGAGGGGTCTTGGAACCAGCTAGGGAAGTGAGGACGGCATCGTGGGGAAGATTCAGACTTACTAAGTCAGTTGCAGGTAGGGAGCAGTGCTGGAGAAATGCCTCAAAGCTGGTCTTCAAGGACTGATGCACTGGGGGCAGCTCCTTCCTCTCCTTCTTCTCAGGTGGCAGTTGCTGAAGTTGCCAATGAAGAAGCAAGGAGAACGGACAGACAGGCAAGCTGTCCTTCTCACGGCCTCCCTAAGGACTAGTCCTCAGTGACTCAGAGTCACACTGTTCCCATTAGAGCACAGCAGAGCTGGGGGAGGGGCACCCTCCCCTTCCCTGCAGTAAGGACACCTGGTACCCATTCCCAGTCTCCTCCATCTCAGAGGCTGCCTCTGCATTGAGTAATGAGGCCCATCTACCATGCTCCCACTTTTCTACACCCAAGGAGGGCTGCAAGGTTTTTCAGGAAGGGGAACACATTGTCCCTGTCACCTGCAGGCTGAATTCTCCTAAAGCTCCAGGGAGAGCATGATTCACACTGGAGAGAGTGGGTTGTGAGGGAAGGAACCCTTGTGGCTCAGGGTTGAGACTCATAACTAGAGCAATAATTGGTGCTGGGGGCATAAATGTCTCTAGCAGCTAAAGAGAAAGAAAGAAAGGCATGTGAGTCCAAGCTGACAGACTCCATAGGCCCTGGTTTTGGGGAGTGGCAGAGATTACAGTGAACAAGGAGAAAGAACAGTGAGTGGAGAACAGGGAATTGGGAAGACTGGTGTATGAATGTGAGAGAGAAAGAGCAGGAGAGAAGAGTGGGAGATGAGAGAAGACAGCCTGAGAATGGGAAGGACTGGGCTGAATTCTGGAAGGCACTAGAATGTAGGGCACCAGTAAAGGAATGAGGGGAGGGGTGAAGAAAGATGCATTGACCTTTTTCCTCTGGAGGTTTCCCCTGGGGGCCAGAGCTTCTTTCCAGGAATTTTGAGGTCCTGTAGAGAAAAAAGATAGAGGTTTTTAGGGACCTGATTAGGAACATTGGAAATTTTGGGTCTGAGGCTGGAAAAACTGTTTTAGTTAGAGTTCATCACACCTCCCTCTGCAGACCAGCCACACTCCCAACTGACATTCTCTAACCCACGAGGCCCTCATTCATTGGCTTCAGGAAAAAGACTCCCAAGGTAGTGGTGGGGAGGGGAGGAGAGGAAGGCAATAACCCAGAAGAGGGAAGCCATGGAAGGAAGACTGACCTGGATGAGGAGTCGGGAGGCCAGTGGTTGGGAGGGCACTAGGGCATGGAGCACCTGGCCCTGAGGGTATGCCACAGGGAAGCTGGCAGGAGGGGCTGGGGCCTGGTAGTTCATATGGCTGGGACCTGGTGGTCTCACAGGAAGCAGAGGTCTCTCAGGCAGGGAGGTAGAGCCAGGCTGCATGACGTCTGGGGATACCATGAGTGGAGGGGGACCAGGAAGAGGCCATGTTCCAGGGAATCCCACAAGGTTAGGAGCTTGAGCCCTTTGCCTTCCTAACAGCTGTGGCTGAGATAAAGCTGTGCCATCTAATTTCAATTTGGAAGAAATAAGTCATGTGCCACCTAATTTCAATTTGGAAGAGACTCAGCAGATCAAGGAGGGATAGGGCAGCAATATAAAAAAAACAAAAACAAACTACTAATAATAAATGATTCATACATGTATATGGAGATCTACAATTTAAAAATACTTTTAGCTATATTCCTTAACTAACCCTCAAAACAATCCTGTAGGGTTGAAATGACCAACATAACTACTTTGGTATATAGCCAAAAGCTACAAAGTCAGTAAGTGATAGTCTTAGGAATTCGAATTTCAACTTCCAAGCTCCTCTCACTGCTTTCCTGAGACCTCTGTGCTTTGCCCAGACAGATATTCACTCACTCACTCACTCACTCACCACGCCTACCCAAAGGCAAAGGCTGGGTTGCCTGGGGCCAGGTGCCCTGTAGTCACTTATATTCTGTATCCTGGAGCCCTGATGAGAGCTAGGATGGGAAGGTGTCAATGGCATCGCTAGTGATGACTGAAGTGGGAAAACCTTTGGTTTTGGAGATGGAGGTAGAACCTGCGGAGGGAAAAAAGGGTCAGGTCTTGAAAAGGAAAAGAAAGGTAAGTAATTGAAAACAGAAAAACTAAAGAGAAAATTAATAAAACAAACTAGTTCTTTGGAAAAAAAATCAATGAAATTGATAAACCTCTATAAAGATTAATATAAGGACTTCCAGTCAAGATGGCAGAATAGACGGTCCCCAGCGTCACTCTCTCCCACAAATCAACAAATTTACAACTATAAAAATTTAACATCAGCCAAGCCAGGGCCACTGGAGCTCAGGTGAAGAGGAGGAGAGACGTATGGAACTCCTGAAGGCGGGAGAAACCACAAAGAGAGAGAGAAAAAACCGCTCTCAGTGTTTTGGCCCGTGGTGGCTTTAATGCTGGAGCACACGAGCGGACAGAAGCCACAGCTGTGCCCTTTAGATGGAGTTACTTGGAGGCGGAAGGGGAGAAGAGGACTTTGATGGCCCCCAGGACAGCAAGACCATGAATACGGTTCCTGTGGACCCATGCAGGAGTGAGGAGCCAGAACGGCTGAAAAAGGGGAGCCACTCAGAGGCCGGTGAGTCATCACAAGGGCCTGGCACACAGCCTGTCCCAAGGGAAGTGTTTGGAGCATGGGCAGTGGGGGAGATGGGCCCACTGGGAGAACACTGGGACACAGCAAGGACAGCCAATCTGCCCCCCAATCAGTGCAGGACCACTCAGAGGAGACTGGTCAGGAATACAGAATTGCATGGGGTGCAGTTCGATGAAAAAACTCAGGCCCAGGTCAGAGTTTCTACACAACCCAGGTGCACCAAGTATCTGGAGAGCCGGAAGTACCTATAAGGTCAACCATTAAACCCTGAGCTGCACAAAAAGCCTTCCCTAGGGAAACAGCAGCAAAGCAGCAATTTACCTCATCCACAGAGCTCAAGTACTGGTTCCCACAGGAAGTTTCCCCCATTTTAGAAGCAAGCAAATGACAAAAACTTAGTTCTGGCCCAGGCACACTGCCAGCGCCTTGGGGCCCGCCCAGGGCAATTTACCTCAACCACACAGCTCAAGTACTGGTTCCCACAGAAAGTTCCCCTGTTTGAGAAGTAAGCAAAGGACAAAAACTTAGTTCTGGCCCAGGAACACCACGAACGCCTTGGGGCCCACCAAGGGACATGAGGCATGGAGCGGGGGGCAGGACCCCAGCCCACAACCACTCACACTGTCAGCACCTTGGGGCCCCACCCAGGAACCCAAGGATTGGAGCCAAGTACTGGACCCCACTCCCACATACAGGCACACCACTAATGCCTAGGGGCCCACCCAGGGACCCGGGGCTAGAAGCCAGGGACTGGACCCCCTTCCCACAACCAGGCACACCATGCCAGCACCTCAGGGCCCACTCGGGGACCCAAGGCAGGGAGAAAAGGACCAGAAACCCCTCCCACAACCAGGCACACAGTGCCAGTAACTTGGGCCTGCCCTAGGACCTGGGACATGGAGAAGGGGACCGGACCACCCTCCCACAACCAGGCACCCCCGTGCCAGCAACTTGGGCCTGCCCTGGGACCTGGGGCATGGAGAATGAGACCGGACCCCCCTCCCACAACCAGGCACCCTGTGCCAGCACCTTGGGGCCTGCGCTGGGATCCAGGATAAGGAGTTGGGACTGGACTCCCTCCCCCCACAGCCAGGCACACTGCGACAGCACCTCAGGGCTGGCCTAGGGACCCAGGGTGAGGAGCTGGGGACCGGACACCCCCCCACAAACAGGCATGCTGGGACTGCACATCAGGGCCCTGCCCAGGGGCCTGAGGCATGGAGAAGGGGACCGGAACCCCTCCCACAACCAGGCACCCCACGCCAGTGCCCCGGGGCCCATCCAGGGACCTGGGGAATGGAGAAGGGGATTGGATCCCCCTTCCACAACCAGGCACACTGTGCCAGCGCCTCAAGGCCCATGCTGGGACCCAGGGCATGGAGAAGGGGACCAGACTGTCCCTCCCACAACCAGGCACACTGTGCTAGCACCTCAGGGCCTGCCCTGGGACCTGGGGCATGGAGAAGGGGACCAGATCCCCCTCCTACCACCAGGCACACTGCACCAGTGCCTTGGGGTCTGCCATGGGCCCAAGGCATGGAGAAGGGGACCGAAGCCCCCTCCCACAACTAGGCATATTGTGCCAGCGCCTCGGGGTGTGCCTAGGGACTCAGGGTAAGGAGCTGGGGACTGGACCCCCCTCCCACAACCAGGCACACCGTGCCAGCACCTCAGGACCCACTCGGGGATCCAGGGCATGGAACCGGGGATCGGACACTCTCCACAGCCAGGCACACTGCTAGCACAGCAGAACAGGACAAAAACATCTCCTCCACGTGGGTGACCCAACACAGCCACCACAATAACCATGGCTGCTGTGAAGGCAGCTAGATGCCACAATCACCACGCCGATGGTCCACCAGCCACTGGAGTGAGTTGACACAAGGAGAATTTTACTGTAGTTATTTTTTACATATCTATCTTTCCACTAGACTATGAGTTACTTGAAGGCAAGAATCATGGTTTGCAAACCTTTCTGTTTTAAGAGTCTACTAGTTGTTCAATAAACAGTTATTAGAAAAATAACTGAATGCATGCTCTATGAAGTCAGGAATTTTCATCAATTTCATTCACAAATATATTCCAAGTACCCATAAACAAATGAATTAACAAATAAGATCTTACCTGGTGAGAAGACTGGGATCCCAATCTGTAAGATGATGTCTCCTTATAGTTGGGGGTAGCTCCCACAACAACCCGGGGGAAGGGAAAAGGGGGAGATTGTTGGCTCAAGACAGCAGAACCTTGGGCATGAAAAAGCCGATCTCTTAGCTGCTGCATTGATGGCTATAGGAATTGTAATAAAGAACAGCAGTGATACGTAAATTAAAACAAGCAAACATCCTCTTTTACAAGCCTGGCCCACGTAGCAGTCAAACCTCGGTTGGTCCTCTATACTCTAGCCACTTTAGACACCTCAGAGTTCTCTAATACCTGCCAAACACTTGCATACCTCCTTTCTTGCTGTTATTTCTGCCTAGAATGTCCTACACCTGCTGGTTCTTTTTGTTTTTGTTTTGGGGCAGCTGGCCGGTATGGGGATCTGAACTCTTGACCTTGATGTTGTCAACACTGTGCTCTAACCAACTGAGCTAACCAGCCAGCCTCCTTTCACCCCCCTACCCCAACTGTTTTCATCACTGTGAAGCCTTCCTTGACCTCTCCAGGCAAAATCAACTGCTTCCCTGAAGTCCCACAGGGCTTAGTCTAAGCTTCAGTTATGGCACTAAAAGTTATTGACATCTGATCTTCCCCCAATAGATTGTGAACTGCTTGAGGGACTAGATCTTATTTATCCTAGGAAGTGCTCAGCCAGTGTTAGATGACTGAATGAAATGGTTTGCTCTCTCCACATGGTCCCACTCACCTGAGCACAGTCACTGGCAGAAAGCTCATGGCAGTGGCCAGGCTGCCCTGGGTTGCCAAGAGGTTGGCATACTGAGTAACCCTGTAGGTTGTGGCAGGACCTGGGCTCACTCTATGAGGACCCTGCAGTAGCTCCAAGCTCCTGTTAAGAACCATCACTTTCTCCATCAGTTCCTATAGGGACAAGGATAAGGGTGGCCAACCCTCTTCAAAGTGCATCCTCCTCTCTAAGTCCAGGCAGCTCACCCAGAGATTTTCCCACCATGGGTAGAGATCCTCGTCTGGCCATACCCAGGTGAAGGCAGAAAGCAGAGATATATGAGATATGACAGAGAAGGGCCACTTGGCCTCCCCTCCTAAGCTGTTAAGATTAGGCTCAACTGGACCCATCTGAGTCTTAGATTCTTCTACATCTCTGCCTCCTCTTTTTGCTTTCTTTATCCTTTCTGCTAGTACATCATCAACCACAGACTCTGTGATACTAATTGTTTCATGTGTGACTTCTGTCTCTCCATGAGTCTGTGACACCGCCCCCCGCCCCAACCTTTTCTGGTCACCCACAGAGTTCCTGATAGTTTAGATCCACAGAACTTTTCACAGTGTTTGATAGGCCAGGCTCACTATTACTCAAATACTGGATAAACTTGTATAACCAAAGCTGAAATGGTAAAAAATCATGAAGGTTATAATACCCAAGCAGCTGCTGCTCAGTCTCCCCTCAGGGAAGGAGGCGATATCTCACCCTTGCGAGAAGATCCAGAGGGCCCTTTGCTCCTCCCTAACACCTTGGCTGCAGCCTGTACCCAGAAGACTCACCTCTGATATCCCTGCACTTCCCCATCACTAGCCTCTCCTGGGCCTGATATGAAGTGGCCAGAGCCCTGCAGAGAATAGATACCTGCAGATCCATGAGGGACGAAGCCTGGTGGCATTTTGCCCAGCTCTCTACCAGCCGCTCCACACTCCCTGAGCACACATAACAGAATCTGGCTTCAGATGTTAGGGCCCTGCCACCCTCTTGCTCCATGTGAGTTCCCAACATGTCTGCAAAGAGAGGAAGCTTCATTAATGGCACAGCTTCCCTGTGCTCCTCCTCCTTCTCCTATTTGGAAACAGGTGGAGGACCATGAACTACAGGACAAGCAGCTACCGTGGCTTTAAGACAGCACAGCCTAACCATGCTGTACACTGAAAGGCAAATTTCTCACACCAAGATGTGATGAGAAAAAGCAAAACAGGACAGTAAATGATCCCTACGAAAAAGTAGGAGCATGTGCCATGGTCCTTGCCTGTTGGCCGAGCCAGCCCCTGGCCCCGACAACACGGCCTGGCCTCCAGAGCTCAGGCTGCTCCTATACCTCTTCCCTGCCTATGTCCATTGATGCCACACTGGAGTCACACCACTCCATTCTGAAGCCGAGCACCACACCTACCACAGAGCTCAGGGAATTGCTCTGGCCCTGAGTATGTCAGTAGCAAGGCCAGGGCCTCTCTCCAGTTCTTCAGGCTACAGGCACACACCATGTCTTTCCAATTATTCTGCACAACACAAGCTAAAAGCTGTAATGGGCAGAGAGGGAAGGAGGCCATCAGCCAGCCAGCCAGCCAGCCAGCATAGGCAACAGGAGTCGTGCACAGGGATGTGCTAAGAAAAGTCATCCATGAGCAGGCTTCCTGTTAGGCCACTGAGTAGGAACTAGCAGTGAGGCAGGGGTGGTTAGAGGAGAAGGAGAGAGAGACAGATAAATGCCAGCCTCAAGGTGTAGGCATCACCTGATAAGGTCCAGGTAACCCCCTTCCCTCTTCTGCAGGTGAGCAATTACCGAGGAGATTTTGGTTCTCTTCTTGGCCAAGTAGCACTCCTGTGTTTGCTTCAGCAGATCTGCACCCCCAGCCTGGGCCAGGATGATAGCATCAGCAAAGCGCTCTTTCCGCAGGCATAGCTCCACAGCAGGACCCAGTTCCCCAAGCAGGAGAGCCTGGCTCAGGAGTCCATCGGTGTCTGCAAGCAGAGGCATCCCCAAAACATTAGTCTGCTCTCAGACCCTAGCTTCCCGTCCCCTGTAGAGTCCACAACACACCCCTTATAGCTCTCTATCACTCAGCCTGCCTTGTTCCAAACAAAACCCTCGAGTTTCATTCCTTGGCAATAATATGCAGTCGGGTGCTCCAGGGGTGCCCAAGTCCAGTATTAGCTGTCTAAACACAGGCCTAAGACAAGGGAGGGGACTCAGGCGGCAGTATCACAGATGTGATGTGTGCTTGCTCAGCATGGGCAGGGTCACGGTCCTTTCAGCAAGAAGACAGAAGGACAGACAAATATCTTGGTACAAGGCCTTCCACAGGAAAGACCCATCCATGAAAATCTGCAACAAGAGAGAGAGCACTAACTGGTAAGAGACCCACCCAAGTAGATGGTGGGAGGAAGGTAGGAGGCAGGGGACAAGAGGATAATGTCTCAAGTCAAAGAACTCTGGGCCCATCTACTCCCAAGCAGAGAGTTTCTCTCCGTCAGGGTCAGGGTACCTTCTGTGATGGGGAATCTCCCGAGGAGTCATGTTCAGAGGGACCAATTCATCAAAGAAAGCTGAGGAGGCAGAGGCTTCCTCTGTGGTGTGTTTGGAGGCCTGAGCAAGGAAGGACAGAGGTGACTACTTAGGAAATAAACCCAGAAGATAGAGACAGCACTGTCATGTAGCACACTCTGAGAGCTCTATTTGGCCCTTAATAGGTAAAACTAAAAGAATAACCAGAATAATAAGGTTTGGGAAGGGCCCTAGTTCATGGTTAAGACACAGCTGCACTCCCCAAAATTCCAGCCCCCAAACTCATGGACTCTGTGTCTCATCTGGTTCTGAGAGTAAGGAAAAAGCCCTAAAGACAGGTCTCTTACGCTACCCTAGGTCAGGCCGGCTGGGCTCCTACCACACCTGGCTGTAGAAGGCCTGTTGTCCGTTACTGTTGAGGTCATCTCTCTTGAACTGAGGGCTCTCACCTAGCCCCAAGTCACTCTTCAACCGTGTGGCCACCTGCAGGGAGAGACCTATGAGCACCACTTTTAACAGCATAAGGTCAAATGAGCATTATGCTCTCTTCCCACCTCCATACCCCACCAACTGGACTCTCTAAGATCCTCATCTATTTTCCTGGGAAAAAGACTACTCCAGGAGGTAAAATTCTTGTATATGCATTAATTAAGTCCAGGAAGAAGTATTCTGAGAAGACTTCCTCTGACAGGATTCTCTTGTTCTCTGCAACAAGTACATGTTTCTAATGTGAAAAGCAGCTTACCTTCTTTTGAAGCTCTTCTTTACTATATCCTAATAGCTTTAGGAATTTCATTCTGGAGACTTGCTCTAAGGTCACCTAAGAGCACACAAAAGAAAAGTCTACATTAAATGAACATGAATGACCCTCCTCCTGCACCAAGGTGGACATCTGTGCCAGTGTACCTTCGAGTGTATTCTTTGTACTACCAGAAGTGCCCTCAGCAGGGCAACACCATCTCTTCCTTTCCCTCCCCAGAGTTGATTTATTGCCGGGCTATGGGCAGTGATAACAAAACCCCCTTCTGCATGAGATTTTGACATTCTGTCGACTTCCAAGCTCTGTTACCCTGGTAAGAGTAAAATGTCAGCTGTTTCTAGGCAACATTGCTTGTGATTGGTAAAACCACATCTAGACTGGAACTATGTAAACCATAAATAATTGATGTGGACACCATGCTCTGGGTTTCCTTAGTTGCAATGACTCTTGTAATTGGACAGATCCCTTGAAGGGACTGTGGAAGCTATGCTTTCAGAGCTGGTACAAGAGATGTTGGCTCTCATGGGCAAGAGTCTTCTCAGTCAGGACAACTTACACACCCGCCTGTTGTATATCTCATCTCCTGAGCTGTCCTCTGGAGAGATGAGGAAGAGAACTCTGACTTGCTGCATGGACTGCTACAAGGACTCTCACAGAAGGGGACGGCCTGATGCTGCCCTGCTGACAAGCTGTGGTCCCTGTCCCATATTCTTCTGAGGAGACTGATGCCAAGTGTAGCCCACCAAGTCTTGTGAGTCTAAATGTCTAGGTGAGAAAACTGCCAGTAGAAGTTGCACAAATACAGGGCCAGCCCGTGGCTCACTCGGGAGAGTGTGGTGCTGATAACACCAAGGCCCCCGGGTTCGGATCCCATATAGAGATGGCCAGTTTGCTCACTGGCTGAGCGTGGTGCTGACAACACCAATTCAAGGGTTAAGATCCCCTTACCGGTCATCTTTATTAAAAAATAAATAAATAAAAGAAGTTGCACAAATACAATAAACAAAGTCAGCTTTCTACCCAGTGTCCTAAATATCGAGGACCAAGCCTTCCTGAAGCCCTTCTAATCTGGGTTAGCTAGCCTCCACCCTTCATTTATTCTACCCTGAACCATGAATTCTGACTACAGTCTTTCTCATAATCTCTTTGGGCCTGCTCATCCTTCCATTCTCTTCCCTTGGAAATGTTCATACTCAGCTTCAGACACCACCGTGATGGGCTGCTCTTGGATAGCTTTTAAACTCCACTCCCCCCTGTCCTATTGGCACTGCTGTCTCCTTTGTTTAACAGAGTAAAGGCTGAACTCCTGAGCACTCCCTCTATTCGCTTTCCTACCTCCTATTCCTGGGCTTGCATCCTGTGTATAACAAAAGCATCATTTCTTTTCTTCCCACATCTTTCTGTAGCTTCATGCTATAGCAGATGATCTTGCTCAAATCCTTTTATCTTTCTCAGCTTCCCAACATCTACCTTCATAAAGCTCTGCTATGTCAGAAGCACAGACCCAGAGTCCCTCTCAGACCCCCTAGGACAGCCTTTGCCTTTCTTTTTGCATTCTTCTCTATAATCCCAAAGATCTGCATAACCTTCCCATTGTCTGACCAGTCAGAAACTTCCTTTTCTTCCTCAGACCTCTCATTTGCTCATTTCCTTTGAAAGGTATAGCCTCCTCCTGGTGTCATAAGCAACTTGAAATTAAATTAGAACTGGAAATGA